TTTCGATGCCATTCGGCTTCCGAATGCTGTGCTGATATTATGTGTGTGCCTGGAGTGGTTGTCTTTTTTCAATCCAAAGAGGTGTAACGGCGTTGCAGTGCAAGTTAACTCCATGACACTTTATTGAAACTCTGAGCTCCCGATATCAGATCTAAACGTTCCCTGTTTCTTCTCACCGTCAACTCGGCACGATTCTTTACGGGTGACAGTCACGGCGACAGGCTATTCTAAATTGAGTCATTCTGTTATGCCGTCCGAAAAGGCTGCGCCGCGGTATAAAAGCAATCCATTCCAGGCTGGGTCCACAATCTTCTCCTCGACTCATTCTGTGGTTCCACCCCCACAGCAAACACAACATCTCCCGCTCTCCGCTCGCTTTTGCATACTTCGCCCTCACGCTTTTCACAATGAGCGGACAATCATCATCTGGATCGAAGCCCTCATCGTCCGGCCAGGGATCAGGGTCGGGAGTGAAGGGAGGCGCATCGTCCACGGGCCCCACCTTCTTCTAGCGCACCACCTCTAGCGCACGCACCACCACGCGTCACCCCCAGCGCACCCGCTACCTCCAGCGCACGCATACCATATAGCACGCGACAACGCGATAATTCACGCGACTATAATTCAGCGCGCCGACTTCGTTCGTTCAACGGCGACCACGCACCTAATTATCACTTAATCCCATCACCAACCACCCCTCATACTTGTACTATTCGACTTCAGCCTCCCCAGACGGAGGCATAATTTTCTCGGGATCTTGATCCCGATCGCTTCGATTGCGATTTTCTTGCAGATCACGGAAATAAAAGGACATACCATTACTGTATCATAAACCATCAGGACCCAATTCTTTGCTAGGCATGCACATATTTATTAGTTACGGTACACAAGTGGAATGTAGCAGCATAAACGTACCTCCCAATCCAACTTTCTTGTTCTCATCTGCCCTGTACCTCGTGGCCTGCGAAAAAGTACCCTGTTAAGCATTCGTGCCTCGGAGATGCACCAAAATGTATTATTTCCAAGTCGGGACATGGGAAACACTTTGACAAGTCCGCGAACCCGAAACTAGCAAGAGCCGCGAGAATGATGCCGCTTGCGGGGATAGCGGACTCAGGACATGATTGAGTTTATAGCTTAGTGAGCAGTTGAGTGAGAAAGTCGTCTATGATGCCGAAATAAGTACAAGGCGACGGGGTTACAGCTTGCCTCGAACGCCGGTCATCCAGAGTCCCGAGGCCTTTAATTCTCCGCGCTCGTAAAGGTCCCACCACTCCAGGATGTAGTCCACAACTTGATCCTGCCGCCCAGTAAAGTTGTGATCCGCATCTTCGACCATATGCAGTGTGTGCGTTCCCGGAGACCGAGCACCTAACGCACGAGCATAGATGTGGGCGTCGTAACTGTGCCGCCAGAACTGTCAGCGTCAAATAAAAGCTGAACGCGCAGACCTACGGAGGAACGGTCTCATCAGATAGCCCATGCAGCGTCAAGACGTGGACGTGCGCCGGAAACTTGTCCCAGACAAAAGACGTATCCCAGCTGACGAATAAGTCTTGGCCCGCTGGATACATTCTCACAGTTACGGGTTTTCGGGCGACTGTAGTAGTCCAGTCATAGAAACCATCTGCGGCATACGCGTCTTGCCGGATTTTTGCTGCAGGACCCTCTGTACGATGGAATCAGCCATCAACGGGTGGGGCGCATTTTAACGGGAGTACCGACCGAGGATCTTGGCCTGCATAATGAACTTGATTAACGGCTGCGGGGTAGGCTATTTCTGAAATTCATTACCATTCGGTAACGACCTGAGACATTTATAAACGTTGTCACGTTGCATGCCTCCGGTGACGTGCAGACCCAGCGCATCCCAACAAGAGAGCCACGCGAGTGGCCTATGACTGCTGAAATCACATATCCGTGGACATTTTGCAAATATTTCGCGACCGCAGATAGGTCTTCGACGTCGTCCGCAAAGCCCCCTTGAGACCAAGTGCCAGGAGTTTCATGATTACCGCTGGGCGACGGATTAGCTGGCGCGTGATGGCAGAAGCATAGCAATGGGCAGACCGGAAGTCGAATCTGAAGGAGTCATGCGGAAGTCTCTGAGCGAGGCGCCGTTGAAACAGATAATCCTTGTGCCTGACATATTACGGTTAACCATGGTGCTGTGCATTTCTGATGCATCTCGCAGCGTGCCACTTACCCCATTGCACCGTGCAGAATCTAGAGGAAAGATTCAAAGAATAAGCAATGCGCGTAACAACGCGGAAAAGCACCGACTAGAGCGATCTTTCGACCTTCAGTAGATTTTTGCGGGTCAAGTTGCTCTAAGATCCCTGTGATACCCGAAATGGGGGCGGTCGGGTGCGGGATGATTAACTTGGTTGAGATGCGGTCTGCCATACAGTCTCCAGGAAGACGAGAGGGAGGGGGCGAGAGCAACCTGATTGACCATGACCAGAGCGGCTAAAGGCAAGTGTTTTGCCGGTCACGTGCCGATGCACGCACATGTGAGTCTCAGTCTCATTGCCCAAGCTAGATCTCGTTGCTTGCAAGTAAACTGAATATCAGGATCATCCATAGTCCACCCTTCAACAACGTATTTTTGTATTTTTGAGCGGAAAAATTCTACATCCATCTACTTGCCAATGATCCCAAATTCTTTCATCTCCGCCTCTGATCCTTCCGAGGTTTCAAAACAGCGGGCGGGAGATGGGAACGGTACTTGACTTCACCCTCCCCGCGAATGGCCGTCTTGCACTTCTATGTCGTCGCTCTTTCTTCATCAGAAGGGGCAGTGTGTCCCATTGGAAGCACCGTCAATTTTTCGAGTCCTTTCCTTGAAGCCGGGTGCGTAGTTGGGTTTCACAGCACAAGGATCACGAAAGAGGCTGCTTACGTTCTTCCACTCCGAAACCCGGCGCCTCCTGTCGGCCACATCTTCGGGGCGAGACTTTTTTTTGGGAGCCGTAATATTCGTTTTCGCGGGCTTTTGACCGATGTATTTGATTTTCGGGCCGTTCTCCTTGAGAAAAACATGGCGAAAGATGAATAGCATCCGTGGCCAATGACAACTTCGCGCTTGTGGGGTTTGGAAGCGGCATCGCCATCGTCAGCTACGGCATTTCCGTTCTTGGCGGAGGAAGGCAACCATTCGTTGTGGCTTCGTTCGCCGTGGATTGCGTGGGAGCACCTTTCCAGGACTGCAGTTTTTGTTCGATTGGTTTTTTCTTCGCCTCGGCAACCGCACGCTCCCTGTTCCTCCACTGTGGTTAAGTAAGCACCCTGTTTTTGCCGTCGCCGATATGACCGCCTGGATAGCGTTGAGATTGCAGAAATCAATGAAGTGTACAACTAGGTTGGTTGATCAACAATGCACCTTTTCGGAAACTAATAGTAAGCAGCAGCTCGGGCAGCTGAAATCCGGTTCCCGGGAAATTGACCGTTTTCTTTCGGATTTCCGTTGCCACTAAGTAGGCGCCTGTTATTGCCACAAGATCCTGGGCCTTGTCCGGTCTTAAAATATACTGCCACTAGTCGTAGGTGGTGACAAAGCAAAGGTGCATCGGATGTTGATAGGATGCAGCAGTCCCGCATAGATCGCTCGGGACGTCAGCCTTGATATGTTCTCGGAGTCTTGCGAGTGGCGTTTCTGCATGCAAGAGGGTGATTTGGGCGAAAGACGTTTGGGACGACCTTCGCTATGCTGAGCGAGAGGGCGTCGATGGATGACTCATGAGACGGAGGTCCAAATGATGTCAGGAAGTTGTTGGGGAATGTTAAATTTGGGAGGCGTTGCCCAATTGGGAGACTCACCTTCTTGACACGTGACTCCATATGCAACTCAAAACTTGAAACCGAGAGAATAAAGTCGAACAATGAAAAGGGAGCATCAAAATTCAATCAAACTTAAAGTCACCGAGTCAAGGTCAATTTTCTAACAATTCTCGCAAAGTCTAAACTGCATGCAACTCCAATTCCAAATAATTTACAAGTTGAACCTCCAGTCAGCTTCAAGTGGGTTAGAGTGCTAGATATATGCTGTATCACGACTGGATTATTAATTCCAGAAAGAGACATTTGGGCTTGCGGGGCAATTAGCTGCCGAATTGAATACATGATTGCATAAAGACACCTCCTTCAGCGCCAGCCGCCGGAGACTGCAGGCCAGTATGCTTACATTTGACTTGAAGCACACAGTTGTTGTTACATTTTTTTAAAGGGGACTTGTAGGCCCACTTCAATCCCACGGCGGCAGGTAAGCGGCAGAACCTCGCATGCAATAAGGGTGGCGCGTTCATCATGTCGGCGGCCGTTCGAAATTCCAATTCAGTTTCACCCAAAACATAGGCGGTAATTCCGACATGTTTTCGGAGCCGATCGTCTCGGGAATCGGGGCGTGGAGACACGGATCAGGAGGGCACGCACCGATGCTGGTTGTCGTAAAAATGTGACATTTGGCACAATGAGGATGAAGTAGGATAGAGAGTGTCTCGGGAAATCCCAGCTACTGCGGAAGGACAGTATACACTTAGCCGGTACAGGAACATTCATCCGAGAGACATGGACGTTGCATGGACGTAAGTGTCGAATTTGAGAGTTGAATTGGTTTACAACCGTGGGAACGATGGAATATACTACACGGAACACGCGCAACTGACCACAGAGATTCAGAAGATAAACCTGTTTTGTGAATGATGATCGGACCCCGGACTCCCATGAACGATTTGGATAGCCGGCTCGCCAGACAGCTAACGGTCCTGATTTGGTCCACACATGTTCTGGACACGCTCGCTTGGCATTCGCTGGCACCTTGGCGGGAAATGAATAGCGGTGACGACAGGGGCCTGGCATTTTCAGAGGCTGTTCTGGGCGGACTTGCATGCTCGCAGCATCGTCAGAAACAATGAGGTGCGGTGCCGGGTCGCGAGCCAGAATGTCTTTTCCTGATCGAACCCGTCGGGCGGTGCAATGGTAACGAGCAACGTTAACGTTATGGGCGTATGGTGTAGTGGTATCACTCATGCTTTGCACCAATCACTTGCTCATCACAGGTGACGTTCTTGTATGCGGTCCAGGGTTCAAACCCCTGTGCGTCCAACCCTTTTTGATGCGCCGGATTCCTTATTTTTTCCCATGGCCAACTCAAGTTTCGACGATTCGTCTCGGGAGCCGGATCCCCCTATCGCCTTGTCCACAGTGTGCAGTTGAATCCATATTCCCACGGTTCAATGTTTGTATCAAGGGCTGCATTGGGTTATATTTACTGGATTTCACAGAACGAAGCTTGTAGCAATACATAGTTTGACCTCCTCAAGTAGTGCTTCACTCAAAGTTTTTTTCAAGCGGGTGGGAAACTTCTGCGCGATTGTTAAATCATTCAGATAGAAAAATCCCATCCGGTTCGGAGCAGGGGATTTAAAGTCGTCCGAGTTTCAAGACCTCGCGAAGTCCCGCATATCCAGACCTGACGTAAATCGGAGGACCGTTCAAGTGAAAAACTTGAAGCAGTCCTCTCTGATAGGTCCCTTTTTTCTTGGAATCCCATCGAAGACGACGGGAGTACTGAGACAGTCGCACTGCGCTCTTCCGTTTGTCTTCCATGGCCCGATATCAGACCGTCGGTAAATGAATTGCAATTGTACTGAATCCTTGGTATATGGAAAATGGGAGACGGACATGGATGCCTTCAGTCATAAAAAGCATGCCGGATGGCCAAATATCCATCCAGGCATCGTTCGACCTGGGGCTGTTGTTCAGGAATTTCCAAGGAGAAACCTTTTATTACAATAAAATGAGCGTTCAAGATGAAACGATACTTACCTTGGGGCTAGTTCGAACTCGCTGTCAAATGAATCACTCGGAGCTACACATCTTGAATACACAAAGAGAAACAAGCGCTACGGACCAGCGTGCACTGGTAGCCTGGTGAGACGCGGAGGTAATCTATGCCCGGCATGGTAAATGATCCAAATTTTTTGCAAAAGTGCAATCCGTCGCGCACTCATACTGTTAGCGCACCGGTACATATCGGAGACGAGTGTGATCTGGGGGTATTGTTAGGAACCGTCACGGTTTTCCACCTTTTTTTGGGGGTCCCGTTGCTATTGGTTACGAAAGAGGAAGTAGGTTTTCCTTTTCAGGTTTCTTCTCTAGCTCCCTTTCCTGAGCGCTTGGCTTCCGGTACAGATTCGCAGAACCTCCGGTCGCAGAGGGTATTGGCTGTGTGGTGACATTATGTGAGAACGCTTTCATGACTTGCTTTCGACACTCACATTGACATTGCGTCTCCTGAAAATTCAGGAAACTGCTGTCCTGAGGTCTCATACATTCAAGGCCAGTCAGAAAACGATTGTAATTCAAACCAATCCCATTCAGCTCATTAAAGTGATTCAAAGTGCCAGCTGTTCAGCGCTTAGCTTTAGCACCCGGCAGCCTTGATCTCAAGAGCGGCGTCTATAACTGGAGAGGCTGTGGATCTCGGCGAGTCAAGGCGTCGCGACTCGTATGGAATGGAGACTGTGTCCATGCGTATGTCTTCTGTTAACCATCCGAGGTTCGCGGCTGACGGCAAAAAGACACCCAAAATGGCAGGCTGGTGGCATCTTGTCTGTCTGTTGTCCGCAGCTCCAACCCACTCGGACCAGTTTCTTGACGCTGAGCGGCTGAAGATTTCGAGAAAGCGGGAAAACATCAGAAACGGCGGTATGGAGAGCACGAGATGATTGTCGCTCAGTCGCTGATCCCCTGCACGAGTCAGATTGTACTACTGCCGCTCATTCATTAAACCTTGACCGCAACTTGGCGAGGAGTCACCCGCCACAATGGCGCCTGGCTGAGATACAAATAGGCGGCATGCTTTTGATGGGGTGTCACCCTACGACTTTCTTGCACCAAGGCCATGAACACGACGGCGAGTGGCAGTCTGAACTTGTTGGGGCCCGTGGAAGTTCCCCAGCGTCGACCTCTGTGGGATGGCATCAAAGGGATCCCAGGCTCGATGCAGCTCGTCAACATTCCGCTCCTCCAAAACACGTGGATATATGGCTACGTTATAGACGGGATCAAGTATCTCGCGGCTGGTGCAGTGGTCGACGCGGTTCGAAGAGCGTTTGTGTGGTTGTATCAACGGGTCAAACTACGTGCGTCTACCCAAATATTTGTTTTGGCGCTCCCAATTGAATCTATTGATAGGGTATTCAACCAGCGCCGAATTCGTGCTGGGGGACCCATCGTATGAATGGATTGTTCTTTTTCTGGTGTGCCGTTTCTCTGTTGACCATTTTGCGGCCATGTATGTACCCACTGAACTCGCTCGCAGACAGATAATAACGTTTGGCAACACGCGCAAGACTTCCGTGTAACCTCCAAGAGCTCAAAGCTTGTGTACGGCGTTTCTGTATCTGCGGATCCGGAGATCATGGGCTCGGCCGACTATGTCCCAACGTACGAATCCCCGCAGCTCTTCCGTTGGCGGGGGTACCTTGTAGAAGTCCAAAGGCAACGCGGAGTCATTCAGGGTGCCGGGGGTCAAACGCAGCAAACTGCAGCCATATTCCTGACGTGTGTGGCCTCTCTCAGTCCATCGGCACACTGCCCCTGACCCTGGAATAACAGAGTCTTCACGCGCAATATCTCGGTACTCTCGGAGCTCGTCGAGGAGGCACAACAAGGATATCAGAATAAAATCAAGCCCTTCGTGACGATATTTCTCGCCGACTCGGTGCGTGCATCCTTCGGCCTGTTATGCGAACAGCGTTGATTGGACTAAATCGGATCGCAGCCCAGTTATGGTGGTACTTTCTTCTGGAACGTGAAACGCAAACCGCATCGGCCAATCGAGTCGATTATTCTCCCAGGTACACTCGATTTTTGTTTATTCGCTGGACTCTATCTTAATGGGCGCCAGAGGGCACCTTGGACGACCTGATCAGCGACGCAAAGCGCTTCTTTGCCTCGGAAGCGTGGTACCATCGTGCGGGTATACCACACAGACGCGGATATCTACTGTACGGACCTCCGGGAACCGGAAAGAGTGCGTGGCCCTGCCGCTCTTGTTGCCATGTATATTCATCGCGGAACAGGCTCCACCATCCACGCGATCGTAGGCCGCACATAGCGCTCCCGCAATCTTTGTTAATACCCCCACAGGCAGGCATTCTCAATCTCGAAATCCACTCTTTTTCCCTCACCTCTCCTTTGTAACCGTTCTTCCCGGTCCTTACACCTTGATGTTAATACAGTCGACAGTGTGGACGATGCGTACTTGCAGCGCGCGACGGCGACGATTCCGAAACGCAGCATCGTCCTGGTCGAGGACATTGACTGTGCTCTGCCATCCCGCGACGAAGACGAAGACAGCGACGGCGGGTCGCCTGTCCGCCACGAGCGGCGCCGGCGGAGCGGGGTGACGCTCTCGGGCTTGCTAAATATGATAGATGGAATTGGAAGCGAGGAGGGGAAGCTCTTCATGGCCACAGTTCGTCCCCGCGCCGCAAACACGTCGTGTGCAGCACTCATTCTCACCCTGCTTCTGCAGACCAATTACATCGACCGACTAGATTCAGCACTAATGCGACCTGGACGGATCGATCGTCGCATCCGATATACACTTGCAACGTGCGCGCAGGCTCAGGGGCTATATGAGCGTCTTTTCAAGGACGCAGAGGTGGACGAAGAATCGGGGAACATCCGGGATGATGATGGGACTCCGCTCGCCGCTAGAGAGCACTCTGCGCCCCTGCCCGCGGACCTTGAGAAGCACAGTGCATCCGGACCTTCGCTACCACATGAGGCGTCCCCGGATTGTGCTGAGCCCATTCTTCCCGGGTTGTCGGTGAACCCACTCGCTACCGCAGATTCTGACGCGCCGACACCCCGGACCATCCCCGACGAACAACTGAGAGAGCTCGGGCAACAGTTCGCCGCGGCGGTGCGCGACTACGAGTACTCTCCCGCGGAGCTACAGGGATACTTGCTCTCCAATCGGGAACGCCCCATCGCCGCGGCAAAAGAGATGGGTGCCTGGGTTGCGCGGCAGCGCGCGGAGCGGCAGGAGAAGGCTGAGCTTAAGGCTGAACGAAAAGAGCGCGTGCGCGCCGCACGCGCGAAGATGGAGGCGACGCGCTTCAATCCGCAGGCCCAGTACGGGCCGTATCCGCCGTTCCCACAACAGCTGCCTATGGGCGTCCTGCCCCCGCCACCACCTGTACCTGCACCAAATTTACCTTCGCCGACGCCGACGCCGCCGCTGGGCCAAGGTGGTGACGCGGATGTGACTGCTGTCTCGCTTGCTGCACCTGTTGCAGCGCCGACGACAGCCGCCCCCGCATCACCTCCTTTGGTCCCTGCTGCGACCACGCCCACCGCGCCGAACCTCGATGATCAGCCAGTACCCTGCGTCCCGAAACTCGTTAATGGGATCAACGGAACTTCATAATGTTGTTCTGACAACTTGTCGCTGTGCGCTTCGTGTATGGTCCTGTATTAACTGTTTTTCGTATCGCTGAATGGCGCTCGGCGAATATGAATGTTCCGCTGCCCCTACTCAAACCTTGGACCCATCTCACGGCTGTCTCGGTCTCACCTCGTTAGAATTTTTTCTGGCGTGCGCTCAGGGAAGAGTTCGCCGTCGACACCACCGGCGCGTCGTCTCGATTGGAAAGAGAAATATACCGAGGTTTCGCCGGCCAATAACCTGAAGGCGTTTGTGCATAAATTTATTCTGCTTAATGACCATGATGGGCCGAGCCGACGCCCGGCGTTTACGAATTTTCTTGGCTCAAGATGTGGACCTTTTGACATTACGGGTACCGACGTTCAACTTATTGATGCGGGGAAAGGCGGTCTCGTAGCGCACTTTGGGGGCATCCTCCTGGGCCCCCCTCACTGCCAACTACTACCTCAGCCATCTGTGCAACATTTATCCTCTGTCTGCTCGTCCGCCGTTCGAAAAATCTCTATAGCTTTCCAAGTCCAACTTCTCGGTTGGGTATGTAGTCGCCGTACCTTATCAGCAGTCACCGCGCCGGCCGAATGAATCAGTTGGATTTTCAGGGTTGATTCGCCGTTGACGCAGAGGTGCGTGAATTGAAACAGCG